CCCAGATAGCACCAGATTTTACCTGGTGAAATACTTCCTTACCCCTTATCTTTGATGACGTTTGAACCCACACAGAACTCTAGGAATCAGGATTATCAATAGTAATTTTAGAATCCAGATTTTGGATAACAAAAAAAATCCCTCCAGTTTGGCTCCTGGTTTCTAGATGGAGATTATAGCTATTTGAAGGCCTATGTTCTCTATGATGCTGTCATACATTTTTTTTCTGACACCTTGCGATTTTGCGTCAATTGCTAGCAAATGAGCATGCATGGTAAGCTGTGCTTTAGAATATGCCTTGCAACATTAGGACTTGCGAAGTCGCTGTTCTCGTTGCAACTGTTCATATGCTTTTCATGGTCTCAAATGCACCACGATTGTTTGCTCAAAATAAACACAGATTTGCAGAGCCAGGCTATCCCATGTTAGCCTTTGCTATAGACTGGACATTGGAGTACAAAACGGGGGATTATAACCAGCAAAGCACCAGTACGAGCCTGGAAAAAGAAAAGAAGAGATGGCCACAGTGGGTTCAGTACTGAGACTACAAAACAAAACTGGAGATCTACAGCAGTACGAGACAGAAAAGAAAACACTAGCCAGGGTGCCATTGGTCTCCGTGAAGATCCGCATTTGGCATGGGGTTAAAACACCTTTAGCATGCATATACTCCCAGACCTTTGGAATCGAAGGGCAGCTGGTGGTTCATCATGCTTCATCCATGGAGGGGGTTAAAAGACCGGCTGGTAAGAACTTCAGAGGACATTGGAGAAGACGTTGGCGTACACAAGCAAATTTCTGGCGCCTGTTGTGAAGTTCCTATGTTTGGAGCATGCTTATTACATGATACTCCGTACTATTCAGAGTTTAGACATGTTGTTATCTAACATAATGGCAGCAGAACAACAGTGGGAGCTCGTGTTTCCCCCTGCTCTCATGTAGGAGTAATAGTAGAAAACGGAGACGTCTCTCTTGTCAGTGTCAGGCATCTATCCTACACAGCAACCGTCATTAGGGGCGTTCGGCTGAAACAAAAAAACACTGTAGCGGCTGAAAGTTACTGTTCACGGCTGAATCTGTGAGAGAAAAACACGGTTCCGAATGAAAAAAAAAGCGGATCAAGCCAGGTTTGAGATCAGCCGAACACTGTAGTGACGGTTTTATGAATCCTCTGTTTAGCTACTGTGCTCATTGCTCCCAGTCGTTGTTGAATGTCGACGCAGCACTTGCAGCAGCTTCACTGCCATGTTGGTAATCCACATGTGTCATGTTACGGTGGGTTTCTACGTGATTGGAAAAAACCCTCCACCGTTGTGGTAGAATCATTGTCATTGATGCCTCTTTGTCCGTAGAGCACAGAGTCGTTGCTGCGACTTGGGAAGGTCTGTTCGTTTGAATTTATCGGCCGGCTTATCAGCTAGAATTTACAGTATTTTTTTCTCACGACAACACAGCTTCGGCCGATTTATTAACCGGCTTTAATACCAGCCGAACAGACCCTGCAGTATATAAGCCACTTGCGGAAAACAGCAGAGTCGTTGGCTGATTCGGTGATAGGTCTTTGTCCGTACAGCATAACAGAGTCGTTGCGTCTTTGTCCGTGCAGCACAACAGAGTCGTTGCGTACAGCACACCATTTTATTGTGTGATGCTACGTACTGTCAAATTTTATTGTGTGATGCTACGTACAGTACAATAATACATGTACATACGTCAAATTTTATTGTGTGATGCTACGTACAGTACATCTACATACGTCAAATTTTATTGTGTGATGCTACGTAATCGTTCAATCATGGTATGGATCCTCTGTTTGGCTACTGCAAAGATGTTCCCGTGGGAGCAAGTCTAATAATACAGTCTTTAGCTGGCTGTATAGATACTTACAACCCACTTATCAACCCACTCATATAGCAGTTGGTTCACTTATAGCTTATCTCTTTCTCTCACGAAGTTTATTGGTTACGTGCTTTGGCTGGCTGCAAACTTATAGCTCACCTCTCTTCTTTCTCTTCTCTTTTCTTCTCTCCCTCAACGTATAGCTTACTAACAACCCCTTAATTATACTTGCTCTAAGAAGTTTGGGCACGAGATTAAGGAGAAGAGAAAAAAAATATAATGCATATAAAAAAATGTGGAAGATAGAGAGAAGTAGAGATAGAGATGTATTGAGAAAAGAGAAAAGTGTATTGGTAAAAAAGAAAAATGTATGGAAAAGTGAAAATGTCAAGTATTTCTATATCTATACCTAATAATAAAAAGGCAAAATTTCTGCCGTACTTTTTTTCTGTCTCCTCCAAATTCCTTTTTCAGTCCGGGTTCGAATTCCTTTTCCAGTCCGGGTTCCATCCGTATTTTTAAGGCTGCTCGCCTGTGTTCCGTCTCCGGCACGTCTGTTCCTTGGAACTTGGTAGTCCCAGCGACAAAAACAACTAACAACTAGCTTGTGAAAAAAACACCTAAAACTTTTTTTAACATAACAAAAAAACGCCTAAAACTATAAGCCACAAGACTTGAACCCATGTCTCAAATAACAGAAGAGAGACCACGTACCAAGACACAGTATGCTTTACGTGGTATAAAACAAAACCTTTCATATTTGATTTCTCCTTTCAGCTACATTGATTCGAGAAATCCGCATTGATTCGCCTTTTATATTTGACAAAACAAACATTTCTTGCATATTTTTTTTCGTCCAACTCTGATCTCTTGGGATCCTGGTTTTTTGTCCGGTAATCTTCTTTTCAAAGTTCAGTTCAATTTGGATCTCTTTTTTTCTGCCTTTTGTTGATCTAGGCTTGGTCTCGGCCTCGGACTCCACGTTCCTTGCTTGTTGATATGGGCTCGCTCTCGGTCGACGCTATACACGGAATACGAACCCACGCGAGACAGGATTGTCTCCGGATAGAAGCCACGGCACCGCGACGGAGGGTGAAGGACGGGCCGCGACACGACACCGCCGGCCAGCGTGCTTGGCGCCGCCACCCGCGCTCATCGCTGCCCCCACCACCACCACCCATGCTCGGTGCACCCCGACGCTCCGCGTTCTCCTGAGATGAGTGCCAACTTCCACGGCCACGGCACGACCGTCCCTCACGCTCGGCGCTGTACCGCCGCCACCCATGCTTGGCGTGACCACGGCGGCCAACACGCTTGGTGCGGCGCGCTGGCCGGCGCACTTGGCTTGCTGGAGGCGGCCGACACGCTCGGCTGGATGGAGGCGACCTCGATCACGTGGATCACGTGGCAATATTTGCAGAAAATATAAACAAAGGAGATAAATAGGAGATTAATTCAGAGGTCAGATCGTCTATGGTCCCAGGATATGCGGATCAGAATGTAATGAATTTTTTTTCTGAAATCCTTAACATGTCAATTTTAGTTAGAGATTAGAATTGCACATTTTTTTTGTCCTCTAAGAAAGTCAATGAGCATGATTTCTAACTGTACCGACTCATGGATAATATAAAAATTAATGTTGTGATATATATTTGCGTCTAAATTTCTATGTGTTTTGTGATGCATTTTAATTTGATACAGGGTTTAATAGAGCATTGTCATATTATTAATACATTAACTTATATTATGGATGTCGATCATCATAACATAAATTGTAAATTTATTTTTTTTCTAGAATGAATAAAATATAAATAAATATGTATCATTCTTGTCATGTTTTGCATCAACATTCAATAATCATTTTTCTCCCGTTGCACTGCACAGGGCATTCTTGCTAGTTGAAATACAATTTGACTGCTATATGATCTACAGTCCTACTAGCTAGTTGTCTAGTTCTAGTATCTAATGCGTTGACGCAGACAGACAGTGGCACTACGTGGCCGAGTTGAGGCCCTGCAAAGCTGAACTGCATGCATGGACACTGCTGGTGGGTCCGGGAGTAGAGTAGTGACGATGGTTTGAAGGGAACCTTTATATATTTTATTTAGGTTATAGATGCAGATGCAACGAACGGCTTATCAAGATATTTTTCACGTGACGAATCTATCTGTGGGATGAAAAAGTGTAAACTACTGCAGTAGGGTACAAAAATTACTCAGAAAAATACGTAAAGTTTACGCATATTATATCACCCCTCACAAGCATGGTTAGTTTGGACACGAACCGAAATCTTTGACCCATATGACACAAAAAGACAGCCATAGAGCACGGTGCCGCTCAACTCGCATCATGCAAAAGCGTTTGCCACCTTGTACAAAAAGACAAAAGACGACACTCATCTGGAAATCACTCAACCCTCTGATCTGCTGCAGCCTGCCACGTGCTCTATTTTGGAACCAGAGGAAGCCGACTCGCCACCTAAATTCATTGCGAGCCATTCGAATCGAGCGAGCTACTCGAAAGTTGCCACACTCACATACCGTAACGCGTACGGGAACAGCAACCATGTAGCCGGCCGTTCGTTGCATCTGCATCTATAACCTAAATAAAATATATAAAGGTTCCCTTCAAACTGTCGTCACTACTCAACTCCCGGACCCACCAGCAGTGTCCATGCATGCAGTTCAGCTTTGCAGGGCCTCAACTCGGCCACGTAGTGCCAGTGCTAGTGCTACTGGTAGGGGTAAAAACGGTACGGATATTTTTCGATCATATTCGAGACCGAATCTATTTAGAGGGGTTTAGATCTGTTCGTATCCGAGTCCAGATATTCAACATTCGATACCGTATCCATATCTAAATAATCAAATCGTATATTTATGATGTCGATATCCAATCATATTATATCCGATGTGGTTAACAATATCCGTATTTAAATCTAAATAAAAAATATATAAAAATAAATATAATATCAGTAATATGCTTCCGTATCCGATCCGCTTTCATCATACCTACTGCAGAGTGACCGATCAGCCAGCCGGCCACGCACGTCGATCCCGAGTGCATTTAAATACGCCGACGGAGCTCGGTCGACGAGAGTCGAGAGACCCTGCTGGCTGCTGCTGCACACCGAACAGAGAGAGAGAGAGACAGAAAGAGAGATGGGGAGGAGGGCGTGCTGCGCGAAGGAAGGGGTGAAGAGAGGGGCGTGGACGGCCAAGGAGGACGACATCTTGGCCGCCTACGTCAAGGCCCATGGCGAAGGCAAATGGAGGGAGGTGCCCCAGAAAGCCGGTAAAGCAAGCCTGAACTATATAACAGAATTATCATTTTTGTTGGAATCATATATATACCAAGATAAGATCGGCTGATGGAGGGAAAAAGTGCATGCAGGTTTGCGTCGGTGCGGCAAGAGCTGCCGGCTGCGGTGGCTGAACTACCTCCGGCCCAACATCAAGCGCGGCAACATCTCCTACGACGAGGAGGATCTCATCATCCGCCTCCACAAGCTACTCGGCAACAGGTCGGTGGGCTTCTTATACATGCATGAGCTGACGACGAGCATCATCTGCTACAAATACATACATCCGTGTTCTGGTGTCAGCCGTGAGAGTCAGCTCATGTTTCTCTATTCCTTTACGTACGTGTACGTTGGCAGGTGGTCGCTGATTGCAGGCAGGCTGCCGGGCCGAACAGACAATGAAATCAAGAACTACTGGAACAGCACGCTGGGCCGGAAGGCCGGCACCGTTGCCGGCGGCGGCAGCAGGGTCGTCGTCGTCGCGCCCGACACCGGCTCGCACGCCACCCCGGCGGCGTCGGGGAGCTGCGAGACCGGGCAGAAAGGCGCCGCCGCTCCTCGCGCGGACCCCGACTCCGCCGGCTCCGCCGCAGCAGCCGGGACGACGGCCTCGGCGGCGGTGTGGGCGCCCAAGGCCGTGCGGTGCACGGGCGGACTCCTCTTCTTCCACCGGGACACGCCGGCGCCGCACGCGGGCGAGGAGACGCCGCCGACGCCAATGGCCGGTGCAGGAGGAGGAGGAGGAGGAGGAGAAGCAGGATCGTCGCCGGACGACTGCAGCTCGGCGGCGTCGGTATCGCCCCTCGTGGGAAGCCAGCAGGACGAGCCCTGCTTCTCCGGCGACGGCGGCGGCGGCGGCGGCGACTGGATGGACGACGTGAGGGCCCTGGCGTCGTTCCTCGAGTCCGACGAGGAGTGGCTCCGCTGTCAGACGGCCGAGCACGAGCAGCTTGCGTAGACAACAAGTACACGTACGGTGTAGAATATATATAGCCATGCGTATGTATACTTTTTTTTCGCTCCAATTCAAAACAGAAATACGTATATGCGTATCAAGTACTACTACCTACTCTACTACCTGCTGCCGCCTGCCGGTGCGCACGAGCGCGCGAGGCGCGACCGGGGCACGTGTGCCCCTGTTGTATACTTTTCATGGGCTCACGGCCATCCTGTGGATTGCCGTTGGCCTGTTAAGTTGTGGCTTCATCATGTTCGTAACCATGCATAAATGTTGGTATCCACAGCATATATAAAGTGCAAAAATTATGCCGCATAAATCCTGCGCCGTACATGTCGATAGAGAATACCTACTCTCTCTTTTTTTAAAGAAAAAAAATGAGTAAACTGCACTATATATATGCATCTGAGGTAGTGGATGCAAGATTTATTTGTTGAGTACAACATTCAATGCAGTAGTGTTGTACGCGATATTAGAAATCTATAGATATTTATTATCACTAGATGTGCATAATACGGTAGCTACGTCAAAAACTACGAAAGTAGCCTTCCACTTGTGTTTACCAAATTCCCCTGCTCGGTTAGACAAATCCACATGCAGCGGGGAGGGAGATATTGAGTCCACATGTTCGCCCTGTTCGTTTAGGCATGTTTGGCTGATAAGTTATGGCTGAAAGTATTGTTGACTGCTTTGGTGTGAAAAAAAAATATTGTTCGTTGGCTGATAAGTCATGGCTTATAAATCAAATACGACCCAACGAACAGGCTGGTTGTCCCTACTGATCAGCCACGTGATTCTGGCCCTAAAGTAGCCTTCTACTGATCAGCCACGAGATATGCAGCTTCCCGTCAGCAAACTACCTCTCCCGTCCCGTTCCATCGGAAAGCTAGCTCTTCTGTTCCATCGGAAAGCTGCGAAGCAATGCGCTTACGTGCAAGCACCTTAACCGCGAAACATTGGTCCGATCAGGCGATGTCCACGTCTCACAAGCGTCAACGTCAAAGTATCACAGTTTTAGTTTGGCGACTTGAAAGTTCAGATACCTTTCAAGAAATATCTTTCTTTATTTGGTCACAATCACAGTTAGAATCACAGGGATGATTCTATAATAATTTACCAATAAGTAATGGGAATGAAGATTATAGGTCGTGTGTTAACTTTATTGCAAGCCAGAAACCATCTAATCTAATATTTATTCTTTGTTTGCACTCTTGTCAATTTCTATCTATTAGTCACTTGATTTTTTTTTTGTCCGTTCAGGCGACGTCAGGCCATCACTGATGCGTTTCCTGGTGCCAGAAAAGCCGTACACGGTCCTACTCCTAGCCATGGAGAGACGTTGTTGCAGCACCCTGTCGATTCTCTGACTTGGAGTAGTACAACCCCTGCCGCCGTGGATTCTCTGACTTGGAGTAGTAACCGGATGCTATCTAATTCCCTTCCAAACGATTGGGAGCTCTTCATTTTATTAGTGCCTAGCCGAGATGCGAATAGCCCTGTTATGGTACAGCTTATCTATGAAGCGTTTCTCAGATAAGCTACATAAATAGAGTAAAAGTGGTGGTCAAAATAAGCTGGTCTGATTCAGTTTCTGCTTTTTAGTACAAATGAGAGCTATGAAAATAAGCGTAGCCAGAATAAGCTATTGAAAAGCGTGACGTTTGGCTGTTGATTTTAATTTATTTTAGCCATAAGTAGCTTATAAGTTATACCCAACAGGCCCAATATCAGCCCATTTGAAGCCCAGTTCACAGACGGAGCAAGGGTAGTTGGCGGAATTTTCTTTTTTCTGTATAGCTTATCTTTTTTATATAAAAAATTTTACGTATGAGCTTGAATGAAGATAAAGTTTATACGGAAATTATAGTCCTCAAGAATATCTATACCTTTGTAGTTTATTACCTTTTCATTTAAAATCATTTTACGTGAATAAATTGCCTCAAATTATCTACCGTTGCATAGCACTTCTTCAAAAAATTATAATTTTTTATATAATCTTGAGTGAAGATAAAACTTATAAAACAATCTTATTTCTCAATATAGTATCTATAACATTTTAATTTGAAATATTTTTATTTGAATCCATCTTGGTACCAAAATAATCGATATAAAGTATTGATCTACAAGTATCAATTTTTCTCACAAAATGGTTTTAAATGAAAAAGTCACGTACCACAAAGTTGTAGATTCTCTGAGAACTATAATTTTCATACGAATTTTATCTTTATTTCACTATCAAGATGGATTCAAATATATTTCCAATCTCATATGTATAAAAGTTTTGATAAAAAAAGATAAGCTGCACAAAAAAAGAAAATTTTTGCAACTATCCTTATTCCATCCGTGAACTGGGCTTTAAATGGGCTATTATGTGCACCTTGACTTGTCACTAGAGAACCAAAACCTAGGGTTGCTCTTGGACGATATGCACCGTGGGTGATGGAGCCACAGCAGGTGGCACGAGGGGGAAAGGGCGAGGCCTACGAGCGGTAAACGCTGGGGCGCCTGGGGTAGAGTGGTCCCCGATCCTCTTTGCTGAGGGAGGAGGAAGACGCAAAGCTTCGGGTCCGAACGGACGGACCCGAGCATCGCGCCGAACAGGAGCGCGGGCTGCGTGAGCGCGGGAATCCGTGTCCCGACGGAAGCAGGTACGGTAGTTTTTTTCTTATTCTTTTTATTTCTTTCCTATTTCTTTTCTTTTCTATTCTATTTTTTTCTTTTCACTTTTTATTTTTTCTTTACGTGCTTCATTTTTATTTTCTTTTCTATTTATTTTCTTTTTTTTTTGATTTTTTCTTTTTCTTTTCTTCTTTTTTTCTTATTCTTCTGATTTCTTTTCTTTTTATTTTTCTTTTCATTTTCTTTTCTATTTCTTTTTCTTATACTTTTTTGCTTTTTTCTTTTTCTTTTCTTTTCTTTTTTCTTTTTGTGCTTCATTTTTTATTTAAATTTTTGTTTTGTTTTATGTGATTTTTTGTTATTCTTTTCTTTTTTTCTTGTTTTATGTTTTTTTATTTTGTTTCTTTTCTTATTACTTTTTTTACGTTTCTTCAATTTATTTTTAATTTTTTTGTTTTTTGTTTCATTTGGTTTTTCATTATTTTTCATTTTTATATTATTATTTATTTTATTTCTTTTTTGCTTTACATTCATTAATTATTTTGTTTGTTTTATTTTATTTTATTTTTTATTGTATTCTTTTTTGTATTTCTTTTTCCTTTTCTCTTTTCTCTTTTTGTTTTCTATAGATTTTTTTATTTTTTTATTTTTCTACTTTACCTTATGACGAGATCTTAACATACAGGTATGTTAAGCCTCGGGTCCAATGGTTCATGAACGAAGAAGACCCCCCGACCGACCCCTTTATGATCGCCCGAGGGCTCGGGGCTATGGCCATCGGGCACGCTAGCGCGCACCCTCTAGCAAAGAGATCCGGGAGAGCCTGACTTGACCGCAGCTTCCGCCTAGGGCTCGGGGGCATCCCCGAGCCTTGGGCTCCCGATCTACAACACGACCAAGCCCGATCCTTGGCTCCTGCCTGACTCACGATGCCAGCCAAGGACCGGGCATAAGGAGACAAGCCCCGAGCTACCGATGCTCAGGGCTCCTCGGCGTCGCTCCCTAGACGCAGCATTGCCTATTGCTCCTCCAACAGGGTCACGTCTGAGGCGTGACATAAGAAGACAAAGCTTTCCACGACCTCCGGAGGCTCACGGGCTTTCAGGCCCGCACGTCAGCCCCTAGAGCCGACCTCCTCTATCACCAAGAAGAGTCTAGAAGGTCTCACCCGGGGGAGGTCGGTCCAAGCTGACACCGCCTGACACTCAGAGTGTCAGAACAGAGCAGCCAGACGATGCCCAAGGCTTATTCGGTTCCAAGACACCGCCACGGTCCACAATGCACCGCTGTAAGACCCTCCTAGACTCCGGTGCACGTAGACCATTGACTAAACCCCCAAACTGCCATATACCCGACCTATCTCGTTATATAAGGAATAAGGTCAGACCTAGAGGGGAGAGAATCCCATCTTTGATCACCAGACACTCCATTACATCTGCCTCTACTCTACACAGAGGGCAAGGCAACCCGGAGAGGCGCACCGAGAGCCTCTCCTCCATCGCATCCCATCGTCTTCCTCCTCTCCAACGAGGAGGAAGGCTCCATCGGCGGCGAGGCAACCTTAGGATTAGCACTGAGCTAACCTCCCTACCGCATCTAGTCATCTTCCTTTACACTTTGTTGTAACCCTCTGATTTTGGGTGCTTTTGAGTATAAGGATCATCAGCTGCTGGACGTAAGGACCGAATTGGCTCGAACCAGGATAAACCGTTGCGTCTCCCCTGTGTGATTCTTGTGTTCCTGAGTCCACCCAAGCCACCGGAGACCCATACTCTGACACCAACTCGAACAACATGCTTGCCGTGGTTTCAACCCTGCGACAGCTAGCGCACTAGGTAGGGGGAGCGTCAAGTGCTATTCTAACTCTACGGTGCCTAAAGCCACCCACCTCATCGCCAGAGCAGGCGGCACCGCCCCATAAGGTGGTGTCCGCTTCCCCGGCGAGCTCTCCGCCATGGCCGACGCCTTTGCTTTGGGCCAGGTCCTCAACATTGGGACCCTGGCCTACATTGCCAACTGCTACGGCGAGCTTCATCCACTCCATGGGGCTACGCCGGCAGGCAACAAGTCCCCGACGCTGCCACCTCCGCCAGGATCCTTAGGAGCAGATCTCAAGGTTCTAGCCTGCCGGATCCGCTGCGGACCCATCGCAACCCGAATGCAGTGGGGAAAGCCCCTCGCCCCGGATACGGCTTTCCCACGACACAAGGAAGGCCTTTTCTCCCTCCTCTGGCTCGTCGAGGCGGGTGGTACCTAGTTCGCCAGGTATCCATCACCGGTTGGCCGGGGAGATCTACGATGTCACCGATGCGCCATGAACGGGCGCTCCCCCACCTATAGGGAAGCGGGTCAAGGGGGAGCCTGCCCCCGATGCGATGTAG